AACAATTTTATTTGTTTAGTCACAAATTTCTGAGAGTTTTCAACTTTTTTATTTTTGCATTTTAGTTTTGTCAAAATGGCTATAGTTTCAGAATCGATAAATTTTGGCTAAAACAAATAATATTAAAAGAATTTACATGCTAGCATGAACTTAGCGACAAAACGAAATTCGAAAAACAAAAAGGTTGAAAACCCAGAAGATTGTGACTGATTGAAGAAATTGTTACATAATAGTTGTTACTTAATTTTAGTAATAATTGAGAAGTTGTGATTGTTTAATTTTTTTTGAATTTCAAAATAATGACGTGTATGACACTTTTCATGATCATTGATCATTTTGTACTGGTAATTAAGGTTTTTGAAACCTGAAGATGCACAAAAATGTGCGAAAACGTTTGTTTGAATTTAGAACAAGAACTTCGTTCATATCGTGTTAGGACAACACAGTCAAACATCCAATCCAGCGTCCAGCATCGAAGTCTGGTTGGATATATAGACAAAAAGGACAGTCTACAAAACATACGAACTAAAACTTTGCATAGAAACCGCAGACAAGAAACCGGACATCATTGAACTATGTGAAGCAAAACTCAATCCATGTGACCCAACTTCAATGCTACAAAGTAGTCATCTCAGGCATACAATTGGCGACTGTACACTAGAAGGTAAAAAAGGAAATTAGCCGAAAAGGCAGAGGCATGTTGGTTTTCATAAAAGAGCATGAGCAATACGTAGAAAGAGAGGAAATACTACGTGAAGACGTTCAACCTTTAAAACTACTAACGACGCAACATAATTGAATTGTAATTACGCAATATAATTACGCAAACATAATTGAATTGGTACCACTTAGGGCGTGGTAACATATCGGAATCCCAATACGCAGACATTGCTGGAACAGTATGGTTTTGCATTACTTGCAAAAAACAACAGGAAGCAAATCGGACTGAGAATGCTACAAAGTAGTCATCTCAGGCATACAATTGGCGACTGTACACTAGAAGGTAAAAAAGGAAATTAGCCGAAAAGGCACAGGCATGTTGTTTTTCATAAAAGAGCATGAGCAATGCTACAAAGAATGCTACAAAGTAGTCATCTCAGGCATACAATTGGCGACTGTACACTAGAAGGTAGAAAAGGAAATTAGCCGAAAAGGCAGAGGCATGTTGTTTTTCATAAAAGAGCATGAGCAATACGTAGAAAGAGAGGAAATACTACGTGAAGACGTTCAACCTTTAAAACTACTAACGACGCAACATAATTGAATTGTAATTACGCAATATAATTACGCAAACATAATTGAATTGGTACCACTTAGGGCGTGGTAACATATCGGAATCCCAATACGCAGACATTGCTGGAACAGTATGGTTTTGTATTACTTGCAAAAAACAACAGGAAGCAAATCGGACTGAGAATGGTGTTAAAGTTTTTCTAAGATATATGGACGATATAGTTAGAATTGTCAAGGGCAATCCTGGGGTAGTTCTCGAGGCTGTCAATAAATTGCATCCAAATTTGCAGTTTACCATAGAAGAACTTGATAGTAACGGTAATTTGGCTTTTTTGGATTCAAATGTCAATGTGGAGTCAGGAAAAATGTCAAATGTGGGTGGTACCAAAATTTCACTGATACCGGCACGATTCTAAATTTCAGAGGTTGCGAACCTTTGAAGTACAAATGAAACGTTATTGAAGGGACGTTTCATAGGGTTTTCAAAAGTACCTCAACATGGGAAAATTTTGACCAGGCATTTGAAAAAAATCGTAAACAATGGATTGAAAATCAATATCCGAAAAATTGATCGGACAGGGGAGTGTATGAATTTCTTAAGAAGATCATTGAAGAAAAGAAAAAATTAGAGGTGAAGGCATCAGAACCGAGACATGATAAATGGTTAAGAGACTCATCCCCTATTTTACAATGCAATATCGCGGCAATCCATCTCAATTGTTAGCTGCAAAGATGCGGCAAATATCCGGGGTACAAACAATTTTAACAACAAAAAAAATAAAAACATGCTTGCGATCTCTCAAAACTGCCTTTGCTTGTGAACTGAGATACAAAGTGGTGTAAAAACTCATGTGTAGTGGATGTAACTCAACCTAAGTTGGTCAGACAGTCCAAAATTTAGCCACGGGTGTCGATGAACACCACTAAGGGGACTTTCCAGTAGGGCAACACTTGTTAGAATGTAATTAGGAGGTAGGCGGTACTGCTGAACTGAAGTCAGATTTCATAGACCAAACAGCCAACACTCAGAAGCTACTCACACTAGAGGTTTTGCATTTTTGGAGGGATAGCCAGACGATCAACACACGCAATGAATTCAGGAGCCGCGAATGAACACTAAAATTATAGTCTATTTTTAACATGGCTAAAAGTTAAAAAAATGACATGTCAGAATCAAAAATTTTCCCAAATCGCAATTTTATAACCATGAAAGAACAAAAAAACAAAAAATATCAGAAATTAACAGGAAAATGTTATTAATGATTACGTAATTTGTTATGTAGTTACAGTTGTTTAAATTTGATTGGTGAAAAAGTTTTAAAGCGTTTTTAGACATTTTTCTCATTTTTCAGATTTTTGATCGTTGTGAAATTTTTGTAAAAAAATTTAAATCCTGATGATGCACAAAATGTGCGAAAACGTTAGCCTAATTGTTGTGATAAATTTATGAATTAGTTTCTTGTGATATGATACGCTCATAATGGTACGATTATAAGAAGAAGGCCCGCCATGGGATTTTAGAGACAAGCTCATCAAGCCGCGACCTTCCCCCTTTATCCGGAAATCCCCGACGGAACCTCCACCCGTGAAAAACCAGGTTGTAATCGCTTTCATTTTTTTGTTATTTGTTTTTTAAATCCATTTCTCTACAATGCATTTTACAATGTATTCTTTTTCTTGTTTTACCTCTTTTGTACCTTGTTTAGTGAATGTCCGTGCCGAAGTACAGGCCGAAGTGGCTAACCAAGTGGAGCAGAAAACTGGTAATATTAACCTCGAGGACCAAGTACTGCAGCCCCAAAGATGTCGGAGCCACGGTTCACTCGTACAGAGGGACAAGTCTAGCCGACCTTGCCGCTACTGTCTCTCGCTACCCCTCGCAGAAACTGAATGTGTTACTATAGTAGCCGGATTTAATGACAACTCATCTACGTTTTCAGACTTTGCTAATAATTCATAAGTTTAACCCAAATGTTGTAATTATCCCCAAAACCATCCTCTCTGGAATTAATCACTTCATAAACAGAACACTTGTCGCTCTAAATAACTCTTTGTTTTGCCTTATTAATACATTTTACCACTCAAGAATCCGAAATATTTTCCCAGTTTAAACGTTAATTTTAGTGCTTATATGTTTTGAAAAGATAGTATTCGTTTTTCTTGTTATGGTAATAAAATTTTCAGTTTATTGCTGGCTCAGCTAACTTGTGTATATTCACCATAAAATTAACCTCGTCGCTGCCAAGTTATGGCCGATCAATCGCACTGCCGTATTTGTAAACACCAAAACGAAAAGGAGGCATATGGTGTGCCATTTGCAAAGCTTACATCAATGTCTCATATGGCGGGCTACAGAGCAGCAAATTTTATAACGATGGGCTCTCCTGCATACAATGCAACCCCGAGAATTTTGCAAAAAGAGCCCAACTCCACCAAAGGACTAACAAGCACAGCCCCCATCACAACTCAAAACGAATTATCACCGCAACACCTGAAACAAACGTACTGCCCAACGCAACAAAATCTTATTCATCGCCCCCAGCAATCTCTATAGCCCCCTTCGAGCCCTAGAAACTTAATGACCAAGAACTTGACATTAAAATAAACAAAACGGCGTATATATAAATGTCCTTAACTGGAAACCGCGCTTCACAGTTCTAATTAAGAACCAGGCCGGTTTCCAATTCATAGAATTACTGAACCAGCAGCTGCTGTCATTAGAAGAAGAAACACCAATTTCTAACGTCGCGATGACAGCACCAATGATTATCCCACATCTGCTGCTACCCAAAACTAAATCAGAAACAAACGGATTAAATTCCAAAACACTGAGCCGCCGCATAATTTTATGGAAGCAAGGCCTATAAGACGAACTTTTCACTGAAGGGAAAGCTCTCCAAATTAGACATCCATTACAGAAGAAGCCGAAGTGAACGAGGAAGTTGAGCAATGCGATAAACTAATGAGTACAGGAAAAATATCTGCCGCCATTGGCTGCCTTTCAGTCAAGAAAACAAAAGGAGTACTTCCCCTAAACGAAGTCATTGAAAGAAAAACAGTCTTTAGTATCCTGAAAAAAAACACACTCAAGCCACAACAGCAAACACTTACTATATAACTAAAGTAAGTGAAGTCACAATGCCATACAACACCTCTATATTCGAGTAAATAAAACGCCAAGACAGTTCGAAAATCAACCCTCAAAGTGCACTGAAGCCACGGTCCCTCAGGTCTAGATGCGTGCGAAAGATGAACGATAATAATTCACTTCAACCAGACATCCATTGAGCTTTGCAAAACAATTGCTAAACTATCCTATAGAAAAGCAAGTAAAGTTCCCCCTATAAAAACCTAACGGCGTACAAATCGTGTCACCTGATACCTCTGACCAAAATTCAGGGGTACGGCCTATTGGTATAGGCGAAATTCTGAGAAGGAAAATTGAATCACCCAAATATATAAGATCAGGCCTTAAAAATCTCGGAAAAAATTTTTCAACTCTGCTGAGGCCAGAAGTGTGAAATCGAATATGCAATCCACAGCTTGAGGACGAGTTTGAGAAACCGGAAACGGACACCTCATTACTAATTGATGAAGAAAATGCTTTCAACTCGCTCAATAGAGAACTTGCTCTAAAAAATCTAGAAATCCTTTGTCCGGCACTACAACATGCGCTGGCCAACTCATATGAAGAATCCTCAAATCTATGTATCAATAACACAATTTTGTCATATACTGAAGGCACAACGTAAGGTGATCCCCTCGCAATGGCTAGGTACGGAATTGGGATAATCCCACTGATTGAGATCCTGCAGAAACCAAATAACACCCAAAAATGGTACGCAGATGATGGAAGTGCTGCAGGTGATCTTAGGAGTCTCCGCGCAATACTAGTGTGAAGTCTTCCAAGTGCCAAGTCATAGTAACGGAAAACCGTGTGACAGCGCCCTAAAAGTATTCAAAGGTACATCTATTACAATGGTAAACAGTTTTTGAGTCCGTGGATTGGTTATAGGAACGCCATCAGCATGCAATAAACCCATGGAAAGCGAAATTGAAAAGACAGCTACCTTAACTGAAAAGCTTTCCAAGATAGCTAAAACATCACCACAAAATGCGTACTCCTCCTACACAAAGGAAATCAAGATAAATTAAATTTTCTAACCAGAACAACTCCGGAAGCATTTAAGAAATGGATGAAATTGCGAAAAACGTCAGACAGCAGCTACTAGCTGGTAAAAACCATATAACCGATGGAGATCGCAACTTTTTTGCACTACAACTAAGAAAGGGAGGATTAGACTTCCTCAGTAACACGGACATTTTCCAGAAATTATGAAGGGTCTCAAGCCATTTGTGATCTGTTAGACAACAGTGATCCAGAAATAGCTGAAAGGGAACAAATTTTGACAAATAGAAACATCAAAACTGAGAGACAGAACATCACACTCTTAAAAAAGGCTAAAATTATGGAAAAAATTGCCCATCATAAAAAAACCGACAAAAAATCTAGCGTCACAGAAAGGAGCATTGAATCGGCTAAGCGTGCTACCCCTTAAAAATACAATTCTTCCCTCAACAATTTAGAGTTAAAAGATGAATTACATCTGAGATATGGATCGGAATCACCAAACACACCACATACATGCCCATGTGGACAACCGTTAACACTGACCCACTCTCTACACTGTCCCAAAGGTGGATACACTCACCTAGGACATAATGAAACTCGCTATACCTTTGCGACACTCCTGGACGAAGTATGCCATGATGTTGAAATAGAGCCGAAACTTCAATCGTTGGAAGGCGAAAGCTTTCACAACAAAACAACCACTACTGAAGATGACGCTCGACTTGACATCAAGGCAAATGGACTCTGGGGAGCCGATTCAGCCGAACCTTTTTCGATGTAAAAATTTTCAACCCTCATGCTAAATCCTGCCCCAAAACTATATCTGACGCCTACAAATATCATGAGAGTGTCACAACATTAAAATACCAACAAAGAATTCTGGATGTGGAAACATCAGCTTTGTTCCACTAATTTTTGCGTGTACCGGAGGAGCAGCTCCAGGCTCTACAAAACCATTCAGAAACTAGCAGAGAAACTCAGCGAGAAACGGAACGAATCATACTCGGACACAATAAACTTTATAAGAACAAAAATGAGTTTTGCACTTTTGAGGAGTGCAATCCTCTGCCTTAGGGGGTGCAAAAATCTTAAAAATACATCCAACATGGACAATTCTATCGGTGCTATAATCGAGGAGGGTAGATTTTAATTGACAATTCTCTTGATGCATTTATATCGACTTGATTTATTCATAAAATTTTGCCGATGTATTCACTTAGCGTTAGTATGGCCCTATCCAACCTGTGCACGTTTCGTCGCATGACGGAAGGGCCCATTTCGGATATCAAAATCTCAACGACATATTCAAATCGATAGGAAAGACCAACGAATTTTTCATTATATTTGGTGATAAGAACTACCCGCATATCAACTGGAACGATTTAACCATCAATGAGAACGGCACTAGCCAGGAAGATTTTTACTGCAAGGAGTTAGAGACTCAAGTCTAATCCAGAATGTCAGCAGTGTAACACAATAGAGCGGGATGGGGCTCATCTCTTCTCAATCTTATTTTCACTGACACTCTAGACTGAAGTCAACACTGACGCACCTGTTGGTAAAAGCAGCCACTCAATTGTGCGATCATTTGACCTTGAAATAAATTTGACAATTAGGAAACGAGCTTCAACAAGGCAAACTTCCACGAAGGTAATGAGCCGAGACGTCAACGAGAGGTAAAAATTTGAAACTTATTCCGAAGAAGCCAAAACTTGAACTGAGAAGTTTTTTTTTCACGAAGAGTGTGATAAACGGCTGGAATACTCTGCCAGAGACAGTGATCTCCACCTTTTTGATGGACAGCTTCAAAACAAGACTAGATAAACATTGGCAAGGACACATGTACAATACAAGAGACATCTACTAAGGAAAGGAAACAAAATAAAAGGGCTGATCCGTAAAGGCAGAAGCTTACTGATCAGAAACAACTAACTAACTAACTTAACCTTTGTTTTTCACTCGATTGACAGTATTTCATTGGTCGACTGTACTCATGACTAAGAAATAGTCCTTTTCAGACAGAACTATGAAATTTAGTGAAAATGATACGTAGAGTCTTACAAAGGAGCGCAAAGTCTCTAACCCTGACGAGATGGCAGCAAAGTGTAGCTGCACCTGCCTTGCGGCTCACCCCTGCCAGCGTTGAAAAACTGCTGTTAAAATGCTCTAATGGGGAATTTCTCAGAATAGCAGTTGATGGAGGTGGATGTTCAGGTTTCACATACTGCTTCGAAATGGACAATTCTTTACATGATGATGACATTAAAATTGAACAAAATGACAAGACACTGGTTGCAATTGACCCCGATAGTCTGGAATACATTAAAGGCAGTGTTTTGGACTACCAAGACGAGTTGATCCGTTCGGCTTTCCGCATAACAGAGAATCCCAATGCTAGTAAAGAGGGCGGTTGCTCTTGTGGAGCATCCTTCAATTTGAACCCAAATATGTTTGGATAATGATAAAATTCATTGATAGTTTCAACTTCGAATTTAGTCTAATTTTTGTATAATCGAATGTAGTTAAGAACTTTAATTCAGTTGCTTTTCTGTTAGTTTAGCATGAGTCACAGATTTTAGTAGCTGATATTGAGCAATGCGTTTCAGATTTGATTGGTGATCTTTGCGCAAGCAGTTCGTGAGCTGATCTTGCGTCCTCTTAGTATTTAATCACGCCGAAATTACATTATGAATACAGGTGAGTTATTATTTGTTGGCAACATTTTTAAAATTGCTTAACGTAGCGAAAAGAAGAAAAAAGAATATATTATTGGCTGTGTGGTTTGGTTTGGAAAAAGTCTTTTTGGATTTGACTCTGCTGTGTTTCTTGAAAAAATGATGTGTTTCTGTTTTTGCATACTTCAGATGTTTTTAGACAATATAGCAATAAAACTTTTCGTTTTTGTTTTGTTAGTTGAAGTTCATTATTTTTTTTTCACGTCCTGCTTATATTGATAGCATGTTTCGGGGTTTTCAAGAAATAGTTCAAGTGTGTGCAATGTTTATATTTCGTTAAATGTGTTCTGCTGTGTTGTGTATAATTTTTTTGTCAAATTGTTGGTTGAAGCTAAAAAAAAAATTTCATGGATTTAAGCATAGATAGATAAGTTATAAATCAGGGATGCGCCATCCATCACCCAAAAACATCGCTTCTTCTTAAATTACATGGGTGACTGGAATGAGGTTTTGCGTCAATTATTTAAGTCTGAAAATGTTATTCGCGCTTGTCATTTTTCGCGGCGTGACATCTGATTTTTGTTCCGACTTTCGATACAAAAGTAACGGAATATTAGTGCTCGGGGTGGGTTTTTTTTTCTTCAGACAAATTTCGACTTTTTAACTAGCCATTTTTGACGGAATTTTTTAAATATCATTCAAAAGGTATTGTTGTCCTGAGCTTAAATTTGAAAAGATATTTCACCTGTGACCATTTTTCGTAAAGTTATGAGGGTTTAAAGATTGCCATTTTGACCAATTTGGGACAATTAACGCGCAATATAATTCGCGCTATTAACGCGTAAGCGAGATTTAATCCGTCTTATAAATCGTTCCAAATTGGTTGAACGAAGCTTATTTGCCATAACTGATTTGTTACAAGGAACAAAATCTATCTTTTTGTACTTTATATGGCGTGTGGGGGGATGATTTTCATTAAAAAATTTCAAATTTTAGAAAAAAAAAATTTTCATTTTATTTTATTTCATTTAATTTTTTTTTATCTATTACTGCTGCTCAATAAACCTTAAACGGCAGTCGGAATATTCAGGGCTTCGCCCTGATACGAGCTGTAAATTTTTCTTATTCATTTGCCAAATTGACTCAATGAAACTGTGCTTTCCAATACTAAATTTCAATGGAACCAAAAAATTGCAAAGGACACTCATTTAAGACAGTAAATTTTCTTTCGTAGAAAAAAAAATAGTGAATTTAACCGGTAGACAGCATGTCGGCTACAAAAAAACAAGCTGACCTTACCTTAAATGAAAATAAAACAAAAACAAGCTGACGTTACCTTAAATGAAAATAAAACAAAAACAAGCTGACGTTACCTTAACTGAAAATAAAAAAAAAACAAGGATAGCCGTTTATCTTGGAGGAAGCACAGAATGTTCCGACCATGGTCTTTAAAAATCCAGAAAAAAAGTTTCCATTATAGTGTCGTTATTTCTGGGTGGTGTGATAAAAGCACCTGAACAGAAAACTAGAAAGTAGGCACGCTTGACAGTCATAGTAAAATATGCAAGTCGGAGAACAATGTTTGAAGAAAAATGACTTGACAAACAAAAAAAAACATTAAAAAAAAAACATTTTTTTCACTGTTTTTTTTTTGCAGAAATGTTTCTAAATATTCAAGTTTTTGATTCCAAAAAATGACGCTTAGAAACTCAAAAAATAACCTAACTTGAGTAAAACAAAATTTAAGCATAAATAGGTTATTTAAAATGGCTTGAACTAAGCTAAAACAAGCCTGCTCGCTACTTAACTCTCAAAACCAAAATTTTCAAAATGATTTTTCTCGTCACCTGGAAATTATTAAAAGTGATTCGAATCACGACTAAAAGACCCTTAATACGACATATCGCTCAACCTATTTCTATGATTATTTGTGGTACCTGATTTTGCGTGGGAGAAAAAGAATAAAACTAAAACCCACCCGAGTACAAAGTTCCTCTCCATTTTTATTAGTCGGAACAAAAATGTTACTATCCAATAAGAGTAGCGCAAAATCATAAAAAATTGAATGGAAAAGCTATCGAAGAGAAAAAATTTCGTTACTTAAGTGTTCAAATTATTTTTAAACGCTCTTTGGTAGATAATTATACAAATGTTTGCCAACAATTTGTAATTTTTTTTTGATAAAAATCAACTATTAAAAGAATATAACGCTTATGTGAAACGCATTTAACGGTACAGAGTTTTGGCTTATGCGTCAACCGACAAAACTAATATAGAAACATTTGGACTGAAAATCAAACGACTTTTGAAAATTCTTTGCTTAAAGAGAAGAAACGGGAGCATAGAAAATCTGAAAATATACTTAAGTGATGAGCAAAGAGTCCATATCGACCATAATTCGGGAAGCTGTAACTGAGAAAAATGTGAGTAGAATTTTGAGTATGAGAGTTACAGCTAGGCACATACCTGTGTATTCAAAGGGTAATGAAAAACCTCGATAACTATTATCAATTCGAAAAATTATCAATTTTGTTTTAAAATACTACCCAGATCTTGTATCCTGGGTCCAGGGCTGCATAGAATATCAAATACAAATCTTCAATCTAGGGTTTAAGGACAACTTCATTCTAGGTAATTATCAACCGGTTAGACTGATTTTTGAGAAACATTACATAACAATAAAATTACCGATGAAGGTTGTTATACTGCTGTTTTTTTTTTGTTCCGTCTTAGCTTTTCAGTTTTTGCATCAAATAATTTTTCTGAATGATCTATTGATTGACTATGGATATTAGAAACAAACATAAGTCATTACAGGATCAGATGTGCCTGAAAACGGGCTATAAAGTTCCACGGCGTTCTCGCGACAAGAATTTATTTGCTTGTAAATGTAGTCAATTTTACAGTGAATGAAATTTATGTGGCAAACAATTTATTATTATATTTATTATATAAAGTTTTTTTGTTGTTGAAATGTTTCTTGAAAAGTTAGCTTGCTTGAAAAATTAACTTTTTGTGAAGCGATGTATTTGGTAAAATTAGCTTAAACGATCAATTTTTTTCATTGAATTACTCGCTTGAGTTTCATCCTTAGAAAAGCGTTTGGAGCTATCAAAATCAATTTGAATGATTTTTAGTTTCATCCTTCGAATAGCTTGTCTGATCATTTTGAGAACAGCTTAAATTTGTTAGGTTAGCTTCATTTTTTTTGAAACTCCTCTCCGTTTAATTTAACCACCTCGGCAGTTAGAAACTTAGTAAGGTCATAAAGTTTTTTCCCGCTTCTAGGTCAAAATTTTGTTCATTTTCAAATTTAAGGCGACGTGGTTGGAATTTTGATTTCCTTTAATTTTACAAATTCAATTCCTATTTATATGGTTTTAGCAAATGATAAGGGGAGCAATAAGCAGAAGGGTCCAAGGGCAGAAAAAAACAAAGATTTTAACTTATACGTAAAATTAAACTATTTGATCGCAATTTTTTTAAAATTCGATAAAAATTAATGGAATTTCTCAATTAATGTATAATTTCTGTATTTTTTTGGAACTGGTAAGGATTTTAATAATTGTTTTTGATCGATTGGACCGTATAAAACAATAGTTGCATGTTTTTTTACCCTTTCTGCTTTTAGACCATTCTGGTCATTGTATGGACGCCAGAAAAATCATACACTCAAATAACAAAAGTGCAAACGGCGCAAAAGTTGAGCTTCTGAGATGGATTTCAGATTTCTCAGCCGAATAAAGTTTTACATATTGATCCAATTTTCTTATATTTGGCTCAGTTTTTTTTAAAATGTCGCTCATCAAAGAAATTCAAAGAGCTTTTAGTCCATTTAGTGAAAAGTTTTCAAAAAAATAATCGTTTTATTTCGTTTTTTTTTTAGTTTTCTACTCCTCCAAATGTCTGTTTGCTATGTCTCAAATTAACGTTGTTCGAAAAACTTGCTCGAAGAGTTTAAAAAGATTCAACCACTTCAAGCTATCCAGATAACTTGAATTGTTTTGGCTGTTTTTTTTAAAATTATTTTTGCGTAACTTTGGATGGAATGATCTACCACGCTTCTTTTTAGATATTCGATGTATTGAGTATCAAGTGTTTTTTTGTTTTGAAATATTGGGAAGTTGTCATTGGCGACACTGCCCTCAGCACATGTGCAACCATTCGGGTTTAAAATTAACACATTTTTTTAAGAAGATGCGTATCAGTGGAGTTAATCAGAAAAAGCTTGGCTTTGAAAAACTCCGATTGATGTGTGTGTAGTTTAACAAATAACGCATTCCGGGAAATAAGAGAAACGTACTATACTGAGACAGAGAGGCTGGATAGCCTTTCATAGATCCTCTGCGAATCGCAGAAACTACATGTATTAATATTAACAGATCTGGTAGTTTTCTATTCAGAAGTCGAACCAAGACTGTAAATAGAATGGAGCGAACAATCGATTACGAGTTTTGTTCGTTCTAAATTAAATCTTTCGACGAAACCCCGACCAAGCCATAGTTTCTTCATATTTCATGAGCTTGTCGCTATAAAAAAATCAAAGCTTAAAATTTCTAGCCAATCATTACGTTGGTTGGTTAGCTGGATAACTTTTTCTCAATAACTGAGCAGTAATTCTGAAGATACTTATTTTTTACGATTTACTAACCCGATAAATTTCATTTCATTGCAAAAAAAAATTCTAGCCAGCTTTTTGAAAATTTTAAGTAATATTTGGTTTTCAATTGGCACTGACCTAAAAGTGCGGAAGCTAAATTATTGTTCTTATGGACCGCTAAATTATTGTTCTTATGAACCAATTGCTGATTTGGCGAACGATAGTTTGGCATTCATTGAACGTGCATCCACATGTGAATGTGAAATCAAAATGGCCTTGATTCGGAATATTCAGTTCTTAGTGTATTATGGTTCATTTTTTTTAAAGCTGACAGGTCTTGTCTGAGTCATAAATTTCAAAGTATAGATTTTGCTCGGTGTCTTGTTGACCACTGAAAATCGGAATTTAGAGAAAATAAATTGAGTTTCAAACTGACTTCAAATTTTTTTTTCGCATATTTATCTTAATCTTTAGTATTCACAGGCAGCAACGAGTTGTATTACATACTGCTGTTGACCTGGTTGTTTTAATTTCCCCACTTTACCTGTTAATGATCACCTGCAATTTATCTCTTCAAATCTATTCAAATCTGGTTAATAATAGAGGCTTTGCAAAAAGTTCGGACGGACATAAATATCAAATAAGAGCAATACGCCAAATTTAAACAAGATTTGCATGCAAGTTTGAACTTTCAGGCGAACTTGAGACAATAATTTGTTAAAAAAACTAGCTTTAACATGCAGAAAAAAAACGCTGAAATTAATTGACAGCTCATTTTAAATAATTCTTTGTCCGAACTTTCTTTGATTATTTATACTTGATCCTTCCTGTTGATAATTTTATAATCTCTTGTTGTGATGGGTGTGTTAGATCTGGACATGGACCCTCAGAGGATCGTGGATATTGACGAACTGAAGTCGCACCTCAATCTACCCCCGAAAGACCTCAGGTATGATATATATTGACTCGAGGATCCTGGGTTCGAATCCCCTTCGGTCTGGGTTTTCATGTCATCCGCCTAATCAAGATGGTAACGGCCATGTTAGACATTCTATCTGGGGCATTCGGATTAGTTTTTATTCACAATTTCGATATTTCTTTTGAAGTCTGACTCTCAAGCGAAAGGCCGCTGGTTTGAGGCCCACTTGTATATATTCGTTTTGAGGGTGAGGCAGCAATTCGCAGCAAAAAAATAACCAAAAATAATTCATGTAGTTTTTCAGCGGGGGGGGGGGGGGGGGAGAGTTAGTTCACAACAGTCTCAAAAAGATTTTTTCGTAAAAAACTAAGTTACTACTATGATAGAGTTGTCCCTTGAAAATAACCTGGTCCCTTGCGAATAAGACACCTAGGGCTCTGAATCGCTTAATAATTGTGATTTTGTAATTCAGAAAGGTGCAGCAGTATACTTTCAAACCAATTTTCTGTTTCGTTACTTCGTAGAACTTCCCTCACCATTTTCAGGTGGGAAAATTCAAAAAGACCGCTAACATTGAGTTTTGAAGACAAATAAGTCAACCCCATTATGGTTGTTTAACCGTACAATAAGTTGAAGCGAGCATATTTCTTGATATAAACAAGATAGTTTCTACAATTATTAATCTGAACAGATTCTGACTCAGCATATTTCGCGAGATTTTTGAAATAAATAATTTATACACAAATCAGTTTTCAAAATTATAACATAGATTGTTCTTCACTAGCAAATTCCACAATACGATCAAAAAGTGACAGTTTTGTGATTTTTGGGTGTTATTTAATAAAATATATAATACGATGTGCTGACTGCTTCCCAACGCGTCTAAAGTACTCCTTGGTAAAATAAAAATAATAATACCGGATTAGAAAACGTGTTGTCTGGAAAAAAAGCGTGTTGTCTGGAGAGCACAAGTGGACTGAACGGGAATATTTTACCCGAAACCAATCAAATTAATCAACTCACCCTAAATTGAAAGTTGGCCCGCTCACCCTAAAATCGCTAACATAACTATCGCAGTCGCGTCAACGTGTTAATGAGCTTACGAATAGAGGATCGGGTCTAAACGAAAATTTCAGCTTTTGCCGCGAATGAAGCGGTGATGCGCGCGGCAAAGCCAACTGTCGACTTCAAACTAAGAAAGCTTTTATTTTCGAGTGATTGGAGAGCTTTTCATTAGTTTCTGGAGAATGGATGGACGTTCTTTTAATTTGCAGTTGAGTGGACCCGGCAACAAATGAGCTCCAGTAATGTTAATGTGCGTTTATTTATAGGACTCGCACGTCAGATGTGACTGCAACAAAGGGTGTCGCTTTCGAGGACTTCGGGTTGAAGATGGATTTACTGAAGGGCATTTTCGAGAAGGGCTTCGAAATGCCGTCGCCTATCCAAGAGGAAGCTATCCCGATCGCACTGGCTGGACGCAACGTACTGGCGAGGGCGAAGAACGGCACCGGCAAGACTGGTGCTTTTCTCATTCCGCTGCTGAATATGGTCAAGCTGGATAACAACAACGTACAGGCCATAGTTCTGGTTCCGTCTAGAGAATTGGCGCTGCAGGTCTCAGCCATCTGCAAGGAGCTGGGCAAATATCTCGGAGTGCAGGTCTGTGAAATTTGAACGGAACCCTTAATTTTTGTTTTGTTATTACTCGATTACGCGGACCAAGTTTAGCATCCTCTGCCTCAAACTGGAAGTTAGCTAGGTTCCAATGTTCAATTCCAATTGGTTGAAAATGCAGTCTATTGCACGCAGAGTTGCAGTTTTATTTGAAGGGCTAGAAAATCTTAAATCGGCAGATGAAGGTGAAGGATGTTATTTTGATCCGAATTCTCTCCACAATAATGAAACTGTGAGCTGGAACAGATTCTGATCTCACCGGAGCTGAAATGTGAAAACTTGTTAAGTAACTCAGGTTTTTGTAGTAATTAGTTGAAGTTAGTTTTTTTCATTGAGGTTGTTGTCATTTAGACTATCGTGACGACAGGCGGCACTGAGTTGCGCGATGACATCATGCGTTTCACGAAAACCGTTCACGTAGTGGTGGCGACGCCTGGACGCATCTTAGATCTGGTTGAGAAGGGCATTGCGCGTGTGGGTGAGTGCCGGATGCTAGTTCTGGACGAGGCAGATAAGATGCTGAGCCAGGAGTTCCAGAAGATGGTCAGCAATATCCTCAACTATCTGCCAAAAGAGCGCCAGGTACGAAGTTTTTAGTCTACTTCCCTAATCAACGTATTGAAAACATTTTTATTCCGACCATTTGAAAAATGGGGAGGAAATTTGTATTCGGATGTGTTTTAGTGTTTTTGTTTTCCTCGCAAAATCAGCTACCACAAATAATTATCTTAGAGTTGAATCATAGCATCTCAAAGCCCCTTTGGTCGTGATTCGAACGATGCTTAGAAGTTTAAAAAGTTTTCTCAGTGTCGAGAAAAAACGGTACGCAATTTTTGATTTTTCGTCAAATTCGAGCAAATCAAGCGAGCAAACAGGCTTACAAAAGCTCATTTTAATGGCTAAAAAGCTTACAATAGCTTAATTTAAGGCGTAAAAACTTAATTTTACTCAAGTAAGCCTAGTTTTTTGAAGTATTTTAGCGCCTTTTTAAAAAACTGCAAAAAAAATTGAAAAAGTTCATTTTTTCATTTTTCTTGTCTTTTTTCTACAAAAATTGTTTTCCAGTTTGCTTATTTGACTATAACTGTCGAATGTATCTAAGCATTAGTTTTGCCTTCAGATCCTTTTATCACACCACGCCCAAATAATGACACTAATTTGAAAAAAAAAAATTCAGTTGTATTTTTTAACATTCTGTGCTTCTTGCACAGTATCCGGCTGGTATCCTAGTTTTGTTATGTATATCCCCACCTATAGTACCTGGTAGAGAATTCCTACCCCTATAAAGAACTAATTCGACGGTAAAGCGCAAGGAACTGAATATTTATAAGTTGACAAGATCCGAATAGTCATCACTAGTATGAACATCTGTTGTGCCATTGTTTTAACGAGGGTCCAACAAGGTTGCGTGCTTCTCGAATGGTTCTTATGATTTTGTTCAGGTGATGCTGTTCTCTGCCACGTACCCTCGCACAGTGCAGGACTTTGTCATGAGACACATGTCAGACCCCTACGAGATCAACTTGATGGAGGAACTCACGCTCAAAGGTACACTTTATCGTTCATGTCTCGAGCAGAATTATAACAACTGATTACATTACAATAGGAGGCTAAATTGCCGAAATGATGGAAAAATTAGAGGTCTTTTAGGAAGGACTGATAGTACTTATGCTAAGTAGTATTCTACTACTTAACCTCCATTGAAACCGATACTGAGTTTGTTTTGATATTGAATTAGGAGTTATTAAGTGGAATGTAATGTGTAGGAGTAACGCAGTACTACGCGTTTCTGGAGGAGAAGAGAAAAGTGCAATGTCTGAACACTCTGTTCAAGAAGCTGCAGATCAACCAAGCTATCATCTTCTGCAACTCTGTCAGTAGAGTAGAGCTGCTGGCTAAGAAAATCGCACAGCTCAAGTACTCCTGCTACTACATACACTCCAAGTAAGAGTCAACCCCTCTTTTGTGTTGTGGCACCAAGCTGGACCACATTCAGAAATATATTATAGAAACTAGGAGTGCATTTGAGTTGTGTCAGAAACAACTGAGTTTGTGTTGGTCCTATTCCTTATTACACTAGCGTCAGCTTATTGTATTGTTACGAACCTTCCTTTTTTTCTAACCTCACTCGCAAATAAAAGTGTTCATCGAAAATGTTCACTTGTGTGTTTTTTTTATAATCACGATCTGTTCGCATTTAGACAGCCGCTTATTCATACTCGTCAATGAGCAGACATGCTAATTTTATTAATCAGAATCGAGATGGCTAAGCAAACTTAGAAACAATTAATTTGTTTATTATAATTTATTCCTTGTCTCGATTCTGATTTTTAAATTCAGCGCTGTCTACTTACAGACGAGTATGAATACGCGGTTGTCTAAATACTGCTACGTGGATCGAAATATTGCTAGTAGGTAGAAGATCGAACCCGAGACGTTTTGTCGGCTTTTTGGCGTGTTCTCGCTTGTGTTTGCGAAGCCAAGCTTTGCCTTTGTGTAACCAGTGCGATTTTGTTTTTGTTTATTTCCGCCAAGGAACAAAAAGGTGGAGAACACGCAATTTTTGAGCATGTTTGCAATTTAAATTCCCGTTCTTTTCGATTTTTTTTATGTTTGCAAATTTACCACCTCCGATTTCAGTATATAAGCTCTTATTTTCGTTTTTTTTTAACTCTTATTGGCTCATAATATAGCAGTTTTCAGGCTTTTTTGAGAGGTTTGAGGAGCAAATAGTTTTTATCGAAGTGTTCTGAGGGAGGACTTGAAAGCTTTTTGAGTTTTTAAATTTTTCCTAAAATTTTTTCAGAGCAGCGTGTCTGCTCAAGAAGGGTTGTCGGCTTTGCTGACATATAATTTTTGTTTCGATGATTATTTAACATTCAATTTTGTTACTTTGGCATATTTTAATGACGGAAATTTTATGACAAATAAAGGAAAATTTTTTGGTAAATCAATTTTGGTAAATCAGTTTTAAATTTTCTACTGTTTTCATCTTGTTTTTGCCGGTTAGCTTGATCTGCTATGTAAGGTTTTTATCGCATGTAACGTGCTGCTTTCCCTCTCTTTTAAATTGTCTTAGTGCCGTTATTTTAGTTGCAAGATTTCGATGTTTTTACAAATTTTCATTTTGAAAAAGCAGAGGTTCGTCTGTCCATCTGCAACTAGTGAGTCATTCGTTTTGTATCGCAAGTGGTGCGAATTTTTGCTTCGCCTCTGTGTCAGATATTTGTGCTCGGTAAAAAGACTTTTGTCTTAGTTATTTTTGTAAAATGCGTTCGAACAGCGGTGGTTTGGGTGTAGTGGCGGCTCAAAAAGTCAAGGGTCCAGTTTTTTGGCATATTGGTCTTGTCTGCTTAGTTTCCGTTTATTTACTAAAGCAAAACTTGCGTTATAGTCTGAACTCTCTTTTTTCAAAGATAAGTCGCATATATTGTTGCCAATAAATTTGTTCATTTTGATCAATAACCAGCTATCAAGTACAGCCAATACTAAGGATATTAATACACACCATGCTATTACAAATAGCACTTTAGTTTCAAGGTATCATGGATCTGTAGCGTAGAGGTAAGGAAGGAGACCCGCAACAAAATAAAATGGTACGAACTTGGGCAGGGTCGGATGTTTTTAATGAACTTTTTCGTATACTAGCTAAAATGCGTTCGCTCTTGAAATTAAGGCATGTTATTTGGTAATTTTTTTTTCAAATTGACTGGTACTGCTTATGCGTCATAATTGGCTTGTGTCACTTAAGAAGTTTTATAAACTCAAAGTTTTACTCCTTCAGTTTTCCCAGTAGCGTTATCGGTCATATTTTTGCTTGTGTATGCGAAGTGCAACTTCGCCTCTGTGTTAAACGATTAATTTAACCTCGCTAAAATTGGATCCTAAAACTGTATATATAACGACGGAACTTTCTGCCGATGATTTTTTGTTTTCGATGAAGCTATTTTGGCCTCTGTGACTTATAGTAATTTTGAGTCGATAAACGTAGTTCAGGCTCTCATATAGGTTGTAGTGATTTTCCAGGAAAATTCTTTAAATTTTGTTTACTGGAACCAGTTCGAACAGGTATTTTTATATACTTTAATATTTATCACTGTAAAATATTTAGAACCAACCAATCATGATCCATGGCTAAAACTTACAATAATTTGTAAGGCTGAAACACTTATAGTTTCAGCCTGAGAAGAATAAATTTAACTTAGAAAGCAGTTGCCTTTCCTCTCCTCTAACCTCGCAAGAATACCAGTATATACTAGATCTAATGAGACTAGGAAATATGAGAGTAAGATAAGGATTGGTATAAGACTAAGAAGTTGCACGAATCTATCCGGCCGAAAATAAGAGCGTGACGAACAGACAGTGTAACCTATCCGTGACGATTAGACAGCGTGACGATTAGACAGCGTGATGATTAGACGGTGCATGTTATACGAAATAACTCTATGAAAAGGCCACCCCGGACTTAAACTCTTTAGGCTCAAATTATTTTTTCGCAGTTTTAATTTTGATCTATTTTTATGTTCATTTTTTTGAAAAGGAAGGCAAGGTCCACTATCGAATAGCTAGTGTAGATTTTAAAAAAACGTGAGCGACTATTAGTTATGGATTTTATTTTTCAGATTTCTCAGTGAAATAAAAAGTTTAATTTTTCATTCAGTTTTCTCCAATTGGTTATTTTTCGAAAAAGTTCCGGTTTTAAATGGTTCTAGAAAATCTTAGAGCATTAAGGGAATTCGAAAGTTGAGATGTTTTGTTGCGATTTTCAATTAAGTTGATTTCAGTGCTTTGAATTACTCCTGCATTTACTATCCTTGACTACGTATACTTAGCTGTTTTTGTTTGTTTTATCGGCTTAATGTCCTAATTTGGGTTCATTTCAAGGAAGGATAAGTTATATTTTTCATTGCTGATGGCATAAAATGCTAAAATTCTTAGAAAAGAATTTATAGTTCAAAGTTTTTCATGACAACAATTATATTTTCGGGTCTACAAGTAAAAATTAAGTTTCGTCGGCTCAGTTGCCGCTTGTTAATTGTTTTCCGCAAAAACTGGACATGTTTTCCGCAAATAGAACATGATTTAATATTACATTTTGGATTTTTAAAAAGTTTCCAAGTGTTTTTTCTTAGTGGATTTTTTTTCTGTCTGCTAGCTTGCACTTCTGTTTTTATGTTGTATCGTAAGTGGTGCGAAGCTCTGCTTTGCCTCTGTAAAAATAATCAGAAGAATATTAAAATGAATTTAGCGGCTGACAGCATAGGTTTTCCCCCTCAGTTTGAGTTGAGTCTGTTAGTCAAGTTTCTGCAGTTTTTCTTGTGCAGTCGCAGAAAAGTTTCCAGGTAAATCGATCCCACATCTATTTGATTAGAATCCCATATATTTGTTAAGGCGCTTTTTAAGAGCCTGTAAGTCCGGTATTGCATCTTGGTCTGAAAACAGATTTTTTCACTAATGTATACTTAGAGGTATACGCGAACAGTCGTGATCTTTTTTTAGTAACTGAAATTTCCGCGAAAAGTAACCATAGCGAACTTGAATATGTAAGCAATTTAAACAATATTTAAAAAACTCGAACCTTTACATATTCAAAAAATAAGGTATCAAAGCTCAACAAAATTTTCGAAGCTTTTTTCTGTAACTCTATTGATCCAATGTGATTCAAAAGAAAAACAGTAATCATAGTTGTTTACAACAAGATTAATTTATAAGTCAATTTTTCAAAATTTAGTTGAAAGTATGAAAAATTAGCAGCCTATAGTTTTTTGTTAAAGATTGCTAATGGACGAAAATTTATCAACTAGACGAAATTAAAGCAGTCACCCAAAAAGTCGAAAAATGAATTTTAAAAATTTATTAGGAAACTATCGAAAAAATTCATTGTGACTATTTTCAATGAAAAGCCTTGCAATTCTCTTATATACGAGAATGTGTTACTGTTAGTTGTGGGGTAATTATGTTTTATCTGGCTTGTTGCTCTGGCGCATTTGTGGAAATATATGACTCGATAAATAGTGGTCAGGCGTTCGAACTCTCGGGGAGGGGTATGTATTTTTTAAAACCCAGTTAGTCAAGTTTCTGCAGTTTTTCTTGTGCAGTCGCAGAAACCCAATATTGCTTTTTATTGCATTTAAGCCCCAGTTTACTATATTTACTATAGCTGAATTGTTTTTTTTTCAGAATGGACCAGCGTCACAGGAATCGTGTGTTCCACGAGTTCTCCATCGGAAACTGTCGTAACCTAGTCTGTACTGACTTGTTCACACGTGGCATTGACATACCAGCGGTCAACGTGGTGTTCAACTTTGATTTCCCCAAGATGGCCGAGACCTACTTGCACCGAATCGGGAGGAGCGGTAGATTTGGACACCTCGGTTAGTTGTTTTTCTTATCTTAGAAAACCTGAACACTTTCCTTCAACCTGGCTGATTAGTTCCGAGTAGAACCCTTGAGCTCCCATGTAAAAAGATACATAATTTTCGGGCATTTGCTGGAAAATTGGTAATTGTCAGTTTGCTCGTTAATTATGCGCACTGATGTTCAGCATGCAACCGCAGCTAATTTGAGCGAGGTAAGTATCCAAATTCTAGCTCGCGGGCAGTCCCCAGGTCAAAATTTCCGTGGTCAAAAACAAGCGGGGTAAAAGTCCCCAGGACTAAATCCCCATGTTTTCAGTTTGGATTCTTTTACCTTAGAATTAGAGAACTAAGCTAGTTTGGAAGAAAGTTATTGATGGAAAATAATTGCAAAGGAGGAAGCTATGGAAAGAATAAATAACTTTTGTTTATTCCAAGAAATTATTCCTGAAATAATATTTTTCATGGATCTGAGTTTGCATGAAAACTGAAAGGCTGCAATGAGAAAAGACATTTCTATATATCAGGTTTTGACATTTGCAGTCAAGGCGAATTCCTGCGAACGCATTGGTTTTCCTGATAAGGTCGTTAGTTGTCCTAAATCGACGTGCCATGTATCCATGTCGACTTTGGGTATCCTGTAATTCTTCCTGAATATCATGAATGCGATTAGCGAAGTCAGATATAAAGAAATCAACAAACAAATCAATTATTAATCCATAAATTAAATACAATTGAATTCCCAAGATGAGTCCTTTGAGGGATTTTATCCGGTGTGATTTTGTCCTGGGTATTTGGTCCTAAACCATCCAAATTCCGACGCTTTAAACTAATCATTCGAAATTGCATTAGGGCAGGATTAAAAGATCCCAATATTTTTGTTGGTATTTGTGAAGTGCACCTGCACCTGTGTCAAGAGTTGTCACAAGCAACTGAATACGAAGTTTACAGCTTATATTTCATACGGACCAAAATAAGAAAATATTACCAGTTAGAGGCATTGGTCAATTTCAATAGCTTCGAGCATATGGTCTGATTTGTAAGCTAACAAAGATCAAAATTGTGCCGGAATGCAATGAACATTTTAATCATGCACCATTTTGATGGGTAGTTCTTAGCCTATATCTTTTGTCAGTTAGACAACATTATTGTTATGTCGTTCCAGGAATTGCAATTAACTTCATCACGGAAAATGACAAGCGCAATCTGTTTCAAATTGAGCGCGAACTGGGTACTGAGATTAAGCCCTTCCCCACAGAAGTGCCGAAAAAGCTATACGTGCCCGAGTATCAGATCGATGATAACGACCAAACGGAGGCGGCAGAAGCCAAGTCATCAGATGGAAAATGAAAATGAGAAGGAGTGAACAAGTGAACTAAAGGACAGACTTGGAATGAAAGTAATTGCACTCTAAAACAAGACTGAATTATTGTTTCTCACCACCACAACCACGATAATCCTGACATTGTTGAAACCATGATACTGCTATTCTCTGCAAAGTTGACCTCTTAAGTGGCATTACAACTAAAACCGAAACCAATCTGCTCATTTTTAACTTGGAATTTGAACAATGTGATTGAGATCAACTGATTGGCTTCGGTGTTAAAATTGGACCCTGTTTGTTTAGTATTCGTTCTGTAAAGTAGAACTAATTAGAGTTTTGTTAAATCTAAGTGAAAATCAGCCTAAAATGTCTATAATGCGATGAGTGAGTTATCTTATCAGTGTTATGAATATACCTTGAAGGTATCCTAGATATATTTGTTTTGATCTTGAATGGAAAGTTGGCAAGAAGTCTTTTAAATAGATTTTACATACTGTTAAAGTCAGAAGGTCGTAGGAAAATGAATGTACCTCGTTTCGCCCCAGACACGTGTCGACCCTAATAATTTCAGGATCTTGTCAACTATTTCCTTCCCCCCTTCTATTTCGATTTATAGAAATTCAACTTTGGCTGCAGAAATTCAACATTTTCAATAGCTTAGAACAATTTTCAGAAAATATTTTTAAAAGTTTGTGTAAGTATTATATGAATAGTGAGTAATGCTGATACGAACGCGCAGAAATGTGAAAACCCAATAAATTTTGGTCGTTTTTGAAATGCATATTTTATACAGAAATGGGTGTCAAAAATAATTCATGCATAGGGGGGAAATAGTTAATGTCCAAAAAAGGGGGATAGTAAACAAGATCCTAGTTTCACAGATTTCGTCCTCACACATTTTGCCCCTAACTGATTACGCAGTTAATTAATCGCCTTTTTCTTAACGATTTAAGGGGCGAAATGTGCTAATAATTTCATGAAGGGGGAAACGAGCGAATACCAGAAAAAAAAGATATGAACTGTTTTTCGCAAGTTTTTCATTTTTATGATGAAACGGTTGCGAGATCTCACGTTTTTGTGAATAATTCTCTGCCCTGAGTTTATTAATAGTAGGTAAGGTCATTTGCTAGCTTTTAAATAGAGAAAACGTCTTCAGAATAATTCAATGGAGAGAGTGATAGTTTTTGAATTGCGCAAACTGCGCTAAAATTGCACATTGAACAGGGTCTGAAAGAAACCATTGTAGAGGCAACCGCACGTCCGAAAACATTCACAAGTCATGGAAACAGCAGTGTTGGAACGTTTTTTCTGTTGTGCAATATAATGGTGAATAACTTAGTTAATTACGTAATTCAGACTCTTAAATAGGTCTTGATGATTTTGCAGATGTTTTAAGGAAAATTGTTCTTTTTTTTGCGAAATAGTCTTTTTTCGCAATTTCATTTTGATTCATTTTGAAATTCAGTTCTTTTCCTTTGTTAAAAGGAAAGCAAACTCCATCAACGAACAGCAAAAAAGTAAAGATCCTGAAATGCGTGATCGATTTCGTTTTGTCAGGGGAATTTAAGTTTAGGTTTACCAGAGAAATAAAACTTTTACTTACTGACCCAGTTTTCTCAACTTTGGTTAAATTTGGCTTAAGCAATTCAAAAAAATTGTTCCATTAATTCCGGCATCTAATTAGGGCATATACTTCTTTTGAAATTCGAACGGCGAGATTTCAAAAAACATTCAGTATTTTTTTTGCGGTTACTTGCGTTCATTTACTCTTTATCAACTGTCTGTTGGCTATATTTGAGAGGCATTTCCTGCAGGATGAAGTTTTCGGCTCGTGCGTTATTCAGAAAAGCACTTACAGTCGTTTTTCGGATTGTCTCCGTTTTTCTCCACTGCCATCTGGGACCCTTACGGTAATGAAGCTGTTAGCGCAAGGATTGATTTTTTACTTAGCAACAAAAGACCGTTTTTTCGCTATTTAATTATTGAATCCTTGCGCTAGTTAAAAAGTACGTAGAAAATATTTAAAAAAAATAAATTTCAATGTTAAATAATACATTTTTCAAGCTTTGGGCATACAATAACTTGAGATTGTTGTGTAGATGTTCTCAAGTGAATCGTGTAGTTGGTTTGTCTGAATTGAAAACTGCTAAGCAACTAAGTTTTATGTTTATTCAATACATTTTATCTTTCCGAGGTTGTTAGCTTCATCAAAAAATTTCAGTCATAATTGATTCTTGCGAAGCGCTTCAAGACGATATTTTTTATATGAAGTTGTTTCCAGAGTCGAGAAAAACCGGTTTTGTCTGATTTTTGCAGTTAAGTCTAATTTCATGCTAATGAAGCGTGCGATTATTTCTTGTTTTATTAAACTTGCTTAACTAATTCATAAAATACTTATTTATAGAAAAAGTTTAATTTTTTTATCAAGAAAGTCTTAATTTAGTTTATGTTTATATTTGATTTATAACGGTTTGACTTCTAATTTCGTTTCAAGTTCAGTTTTTCTCAGTTCCTCTGTTAAAAGGAAGGCAGTTTCCAGCATCAAAAAAGCGTCAGAAAATACTTGCTCGACTTCTAATTTCGAAAAAGAATTTTAATTTTCAGATTTTCCAGCGGAAAAAACTTTACCGTTTGATCAAGTTTTCTCCAATTGAGTTGATTTTATCTAAAACGTGTCAACCATAAACTGTTATTGAAATTCAATGAGCCTTAAAGCTTTATAATTTTACTATGCATTTCGAACGATGAAGTTTTTAAAAATCGATGAACGTAGTTCAGTCTCTTACTTCAGCTCCTGTTATTTTTTCCTTTGTTTGTTCAGGAAACATTATAGAAACTTTTCAAGGTCGAGTATATTTTGCGGTTTGAATTTTAATTACTTTTCAAGTTCAGGTCATTTCCTTTATTTTGCAATCGTCTGTTGGCTATGTTTTTTTTTTCAGGAATATTTTCAATTCTCTAATAACTACAGGTTTTATTAGGTAGAAATGCACTTAAGTATATATGAATTTTTTGAAATCAATTCAAATTCATCTGCTCAAATTTATTTATATTGGGCTGTGGAAATACGAACGTGGAAATGGCGCAAAAAAGTTGAACAATGTCTTGTTTTGAAAGTGGATTTTAAAGGTTAAATTTTCCAACGGAATCAAAACTATACCTATTTTCTAATTTGATTTATTTGCATCAAAACAGTCAATAATAAATTCGTCTTTAATTTCGAAGAGACTACAGGCCAAATTTTTTTAAATTTTAGTTAATTCGGAAAATTTCGATTTTCAGATTTAAAATTATTTGGCCTGTAGTCTCTTCGAAATCAATTTCACCAAACCGTATCAATTAAAATTTTGTCAGTTAAATTAAACATATCAGAATATTTTGATTTTTTTTCTACGAACTTTTTCTAGAAACGGTGATCAAGAGTTTGCGTAGAAGCCGGATTTTAGTTAGGACAGTTGAAATAAAAATTTTTAGCAGCATGTTTCCAAATTAACCAAAAACACTGGAACTGAGCCAAAAAATTTCATAGAACAGTGGAAAGTCTTGAATAATTCCATTGGATAAGAAAATTATAATTACACGTTAACTTCTTAAGTCTTCTTTTTTTAAATTTTGAAAATTAATATTTTCGAATTATCCACTTAAAAAGCAACAAATCAGAATAGCAGAACAAAATGTAATTTTTTATCATGTTGAAGAGATTGATTAATAACTTGCCGAAATGATATATTTCGCTAATTTTTGGTTTCAAATCTAAATCAAAATACCAAGAATCCAATCAAAATTGTGAAAAATAAGTGATGTTTTTAATAATTATCTTCAATTTTTTGAGAAAGATTGTCAAAACTGCTTCAGTTCAACAAAATGTTTTTAAATGAAATTTCTTATAAACATTATATCAACCAATGAATTTTTGAACTATTTCAGATATTTTGTAAATTTTTAGATGATTGAAGCGTAAGCAAAACTTATTGAGATGTTAGCTGATAATTATATACAGCTGACAAGAAAATTATTTTTTTTTTCATTTGAAAAACACTGATGGGTCAGATCATTTCAACTCAACAAGCACAAAGAAAATCAATAACAAAGTTAGAAGAAACAGAAATCTGTCCCAAAAAGTCAAACTAATCGTAACAGAACGAATGAGTGGCTGCATTCACTTTAAAATTGGTATCAAATCTGTTAAAGTTTTAAGATTAATAAAATCTCACAGTCTAGTGAGCAAATTATTATAGATCTTTCAAACTGGGGAAAACTGGAGTAAAAAAATCAGAGAGTAAGGAAAAGAGTTAGCTATGTCTAAAACACCTTCGAGAAAAAATGCGGGTTTCCTTGTGATTCAAATGAGAACAAAAGTTGATGAAATTGAGGATATGGAAACGGAAGAAGTTTGAATTAGCTTACAAGGGGACATTCATTACAAATGATTATTTTTGAAGAAATGGTTGAATTTGACGTCTTCTACAAAAATCTGAAATTTTGTTTCAGTCCAACAAAATTTCCCCTACATGATTCGCGAAAAGTTGAAACACTTCGTGATAGAAGATACAAGGAAGAAAAATTGTTAATTCAACAGGATAAAGTATCTCTGTTGGGAAGAAATCATGGTGTTGCACTTGATGAAGAAATTGATAACAAACTCGAAAATAAAATCGGTTTTTGTTTCAATCAGATTTTTTTTGTCTTATTGCACATATAGTGAAGTTTATTATATATGTGTAAAATCGATTTTTCTTCTCATTTTGAGGTAATATTTCTGACCGAATTTTTGTTTTTTTAAGGTTCAACAGTGCATGCTACTAAAAACGTTTGAAGTTAGTTTATGATTTGATTTTGAAGCTTAAATAATAACTCATACAGAACCATGAGCATCAATGAAAAATCAAAAATTTCATTAATTTCGAATCATGTTTTAAATTTTTTGAATTCTGTGAAGAAACGCTGATCTCAGAGTTTGTATGGAAGCAAGTTTTTGATTAGAACTTAGATAATATCTCTAAGTTTTTTTTCGCATGAGTTGCTTCATTAGGCATTTTTTGCGGTTTTTCTTGGTTTTCATCGTAAATTATGTTAAACTGCTCGACCAAGCTGGTTGATTGCGCTTTCGCATGATACAACAATCCTTGAAGAGAATCTGTGCTTCAACAAAGTGTAAAGAAATTTTGGACATATGTAAAAAAGTTTATCTGGTCTCTTTAGGTTTTGACTAAAAGATGTTGCTATTAAAACCAAGTGGAACTTGCAATTCTCCAATGAACATAAAGAATTATGAGTAGAAACGCAGTAAACTTGGGTTACTATTTTTTTTGTAAATTTTGTTGAAAACCGAAATGAATTGTAATTTTTCGTTATAATTTGAATATAAAATGGGAAGAGCATTACTAGAAATTATTACAAAAAAAATTGAATAAAAAATTATTTAATTTTTTTTCAGCACAGCTCTAATATATCTTTTGAGTAAATTTCTACTAAATTTC